GATGCATGGATGGAAGCATGGATGGATGCATGGATGGATGGATGGATAGATGGATGAAGGGATGGGTGGATAAATGGATGGATGCATGGGTAGATGCATGGATGGATAGATGGATAGATGCATGGATGGATGGATGCATGGATGGATGGATGGATGGATGATGGATGGAAGGATGGCTGGATGCATGGATGGATAGATGCGTGCATGAATGGATGGATGGATGGGTAGATGCATGTATGAATGGCTAGATGGATGGATGGATGGATGGATGAATGAATGGATGCATGGAAGCATGGATACATGTATGGAAGAATGGATAGATGGATGCATGAATATATGCATGGGTATGTGCATGCATGGATGGATGGATGATAGATGGATGGATAGATAGATGGAAGAATGGATGGATGAATGGAATATGCATGGATAGATGGGTGGATGGATGGATGGATGCATGTATGGATGGATGGATGGATGAATGAATGGATGCATGGAAGCATGGATATATGTATGGAAGAATGGATAGATGATGCATGAATATGTGCATGGGTATGTGCATGCATGGATGGATGGATGATAGATGGATGGATAGATAGATGGAATAATGGATGGATGAATGGAATATGCATGGATAGATGGGTGGATGGATGAATGGATGGATGCATGTGTGGATGCATGAATGGATGGATGGATTGATAGATGCATGTATGTTGTATGTATGTATGGAAGGAGGGGTGGATGGAAGGATGGATGGATGGATTAATGGATGGATGTGTGGATGGATGGATAAATGCATGGATCAATGGATGGGTAGATGGATGGAAGGATGCATGTATTGATGGATAAATTGATACATGCATGGGTAGATGCATGAATGGATGGATGAAGGAAAGATGGATGGATGAATAGATGCATGGATGATGGATGGATGCATGGATGAATGGGTGGATGGACAGACAGATGCATGGATGGATGGATGGATGAATGGATGGGTGGTTGAATTGATGCATGTATGTATGGATGATGGATGAGTGGAAGGATGGATGGATGCATGGATGGATGGATGATGCACGAGTAGATGTATGTATGTATGTATGTATGTATGGATGGATGGATGGATTGATGGATGGATGCATGCATGGATGGATAGATGGATGGATGGATGATCGATGGATGGATTTGTGAATGAATGCATGGATGGATGGATCGATAGATGTACATATGTATGTATGTATGTATGTATGTAGGTGGGTAGGTAGGTAGGTAGGTAGGTAGGTAGATATGCACGTACGAAAGG